ATCCTCCAGGGTCTGAAGCCTCCTGGGCGTATTCCTTAACGAACGCCCCCACCGTAGTGGGCGTTGCTTACTGGTGGGGTGGGGAGGGGGGGGGGGATCAACGGGGGGGGGGGTGAAGAAGCGTGCACATTTCGTGCCCTGATCGGCCCCAGAGGGGGCACTCCAGGGCCCCTGAGATTTCAGAAGGCACACCTTCCCTCACCCCCCTATTCGCTACACACACCATTCCCTACGCAGCGCCCGAGCATAGCCAAAACTTGTCCGTCGTTCCCCCCGCAGCCGTGTTCAGGAACGCCTTTAGGACATCGCCCTGACTCCGGATCTGCCCTACTTTGGGGAAATTCGTAAGCAGGGCTTGGAATTTCCGCCTTACTTTTCAAGCCCCGCTGATGCCAATTTCCGCCCTACTTTTCTGTTGCTGTTTCCGCCCTACTCTTGTGGATTTCCGCTCTACTTTATGCTGGGTGCAGAAATGTCCGCCCTACTTTTTCGGCTTCTTATAGGTGGTTTTCCGACGCAGTTTTAAGTAAGAAAAAAAGCCAAAGTAGGGCGGATCTGGAGTCAGGGATAGCCAAAACTTGTCCGTCGTTCTCCCGGCAGCCGTGTTCAGGAACGCCTTTAGGACATCGACGGGCACGGCCGGCGGCGCCCGCTCTGCTGCGGCAGCTCGCCCTGGCGCCGCGCGCGGCCTCGTCGCCGCGCCCCGGGGCACGCTGCATGCCGCGTCGGTCCCGCTGCGGGCGGCCGCGGAGAGAGGGGGCCACACGCGCACCCTGCCCCTGCCCCCCCCCTCAGAGGAGGAGGAGGAGGAGGAGGAGGAGGAGGAGGAGAAGGAGGAGGAGGAGGAGAGAGGAGGAGAGGAGGAGGAGGGGGGGGGGGGGGGGGGGGGCAGGGTTCGCGTGTGGCCCCCCAGGAGAGCCCTGCGGCGAGCCGGAGCGCGCCTCGGCACGCGCGGCCGCCGCCGTCCCCTCCGAGCGCGCCCGGGGCGCCGCCCGCTCGCGCGCGCGGCGGGCGCAGGCCGCGCCCCGATGCGAGCCGGGGCCGCGGCGGGCCCGGCGGCATCGAGAGAAGGCATCCAAGACCCGCCAAGCAGAGGGCACCAAAAAAGGAGGGAAGCGCAAGATGGCGACATGTTTATGCTGATAGGATGAGGGGGGGGGCATGAACGGAGGGCGCCAAGCTGCAGGGCGGGGGATAGGAGGGCGCACTGGGCCCTCCAATCCATGAACTTTGGCAGGCTGGGCCGCGCCCGTTAGCACTTCCCCAGCCATCGCTCGGACGTCCATTAATTCCGTGTGCTTTTTTCGGTTTCGTGCGTGGTCTTCTCGCCAGATGATCAAGGATGCTCCTCGATGGTCCTCGCCGAAGGAAAGATGCACACGTCCGAGCGAAAGCCGCCAGCTGGAGCGGGCTGCTGCTGCTCCCGGCCGCCGCTCCGGCGTGCCGGCAGGCCTGCATGGCGGAGGGGGGGGCCCGTGAACAGGTCCGTTGAAGAGGGGGAGGAGGAGGAGGAGGAGGAGGAGGAGGAGGAGGAGGAGGAGGAGGAGGAGGAGGAGGAGGAGGAGGAGGAGGAGGAGGAGGAGGGGTGGCCTCCCGCGTGGCCCACGCGCCTGCTGGCCCCAGTGCGCGCTGGACGGCCGAGCGGGCGAAACGGGCACGGCGCGCCGACCCCTCCGGCGGAGATGCAGCTCGCAGCTTCGCGCTGGTGGCTCGGGCAGGGCAAGCGCAGCGACTCCTGCACGGGGGCCGTGTCCGGCAGGCACGCGCGCCACGGGGGGTGCGTCAGTTCGCAGCTTCGCGCTGGTGGCTCGGGCAGGGCAAGCGCAGCGGCTCCTGCACGGGGGCCGTGTCCGGCAGGCACGCGCGCCACGGGGGGTGCGTCAGTTCGCAGCTTCGCGCTGGCGGCTCGGGCAGGGCAAGCGCAGCGACTCCTGCACGGGGGCCGTGTCCAGAAGGCACGCGCGCCACGGGGGGTGCGTCCTGCGCCGCTGCCAGGCCCTTCCCGCCTGCGCCGCTTGAAAGCGAGCCGCGTGGAGTGGGCTGCGCGGCTGTCGATTCACCCATGGGGAAGCTGGGATTGGAGGCTCAGCGGCGGCGGTGGAGGAGACATGCCTGGCGGTCTTCCCGCCCTTCATACCTCATGGAGTCCTTACTCCCGCTTCCGAAGCCGCTTCCCCTCCCTGATCTGCAGCGATGAAATCCCGCAGCAGCACGGGTTGTGGGATCGGCGATGAGGATGATCGGGCAGGGGCATGGGGGAGCTACTAGCATCTGGGGTGCGTCAGTGGTACTAGACCTCAACCCCGTCGGACTGGCCGCAGGGTGCAGTGCTATTTCAGCTGTCTTGCGCCCATGCTGGATGTCCTCCCCCTGTCGTCAGTCAAGGCTTTGCTATTGTCCTGCTTGAAGCGCGGGGCGGTTTTCATCCAGCCAGTCATTTTTGGGGCCCAGCATGACGCCATCGAGTGCAGGTCGGCCGCTCCTTGCTGGGACTGGAGGGAGAAGAGGAGGAGGAGAGGAGGAGGAGGAGGAGGAGGAGGAGGAGGAGGAGGAGGTGGCCTCCCGCGTGGCCCGCGCGCCTGCCGGCCCCAGTGCGCGCTGGACGGCCGAGCGGGCGGAACGGGCGCGGCGCGCCCGACCCCTCCGGCGGAGATGCAGCTCGCAGCTTCGCGCTGGTGGCTCGGGCAGGGCAAGCGCAGCGACTCCCCCTCCTCCTCCTCCCTCCTCCTCCTCCTCCTCCCCCCTCCCCCTCCTCCTCCTCCTCCTCCTCCTCCTCCTCTCCTCCTCCTCCTCCTCTTCCTCCTGCTCCTCCCCTTCCTCCTCCTCCTTCTCCTCGTCCTCCTCCTCCTCCTCCTCCTCCTCCTCCTCTTCCTCCTCCTCCCGAGGTGGTCCCTCTTCCGAGGCGGGAATTCATACATGACCACAGGCACGCGCGCCACGGGGGGTGCGTCAGTTCGCAGCTTCGCGCTGGCGGCTCGGGCAGGGCAGGCGCAGCGGCTCCTGCACGGGGGCCGTGTCCAGAAGGCACGCGCGCCACGGGGGGTGCGTCCCGCGCCGCTGCCAGGCCCTTCCCGCCTGCGCCGCTTGAAAGCGAGCCGCGTGGAGTGGGCTGCGCGGCTGTCGATTCACCCATGGGGAAGCTGGGATTGGAGGCTCAGCGGCGGCGGTGGAGGAGACATGCCTGGCGGTCTTCCCGCCCTTCATACCTCATGGAGTCCTTACTCCCGCTTCCGAAGCCGCTTCCCCTCCCTGATCTGCAGCGATGAAATCCCGCAGCAGCACGGGTTGTGGGATCGGCGATGAGGATGATCGGGCAGGGGCATGGGGGAGCTACTAGCATCTGGGGTGCGTCAGTGGTACTAGACCTCAACCCCGTCGGACTGGCCGCAGGGTGCAGTGCTATTTCAGCTGTCTTGCGCCCATGCTGGATGTCCTCCCCCTGTCGTCAGTCAAGGCTTTGCTATTGTCCTGCTTGAAGCGCGGGGCGGTTTTCATCCAGCCAGTCATTTTTGGGGCCCAGCATGACGCCATCGAGTGCAGGTCGGCCGCTCCTTGCTGGGACTGGAGGGAGAGGAGGAGGAGGAGGAGGAGGAGGAGGAGGAGGAGGAGGAGGAGGAGGAGGAGGAGGAGGAGGAGGAGGAGGAGGAGAGGAGGAGGAGGAGGAGGAGGAGGAGGGGGAGGGGGAGGAGGAGGAGGGGAGGAGGTGGAGGAGGAGGAGGAGGAGGAAGGAGGAGGACGAGGAGGAGGACGAGGAGGCGGAGGGGCCGATGGATACGACGTATCCGTTGTCTGTCGATGGCCACCCTCGACCTCGAGAACCTACGAAGTGAGACAGCAGGACCGAGCGAGCAGTCACGCAATATGTGATTGCTGGCAACTGCGAGCTCGCTATCCGAGGGGCACATATACGTATGATGGGCAGACAGAAGGAGACAGCGAAGGACGAGGTCAAGGAGGAGGAGGAGGAGGTCGAGAAGAGAAGGGGGAAGAGGATGAGGAGGAGGAGCAGGAGGATACTGATGAGGAGGAGGAGGAGGAGGAGGAGGAGGAGGAGGAGGAGGTGGTCGACAAGAGGAGGAGGAGGAGGAGGAGGAGGAGGAGGAGGAGGAGGAGAACCAGTGTAAACCCACGCGCAATCAGCGATATTGCAATAAGCCCTCCCTCCAAGTTCCCTCTTCATAGGCCCCATGCAGCAAAGATTCATAAGCATTGAATGTGCAAGAACAGTTTGAAAATCCTGAACTGTGCCAAAACACCATAGCTGAGATTTCAACGCCGCGAACCACCCCTACTGTTGCGTCTTGACGACCCTGAATCGTGTCAGAACGCCGTTCCTGGAACTTCAACACCATGAATCAACGTAGCTGTTGCGCCCTGACAGTCCGACACCGTACCCAGACACCATGTCTGAGACGTGGGCCATGAGAACCCTTGAAACTGATGTAAACTCTTAAAGTGAATCTGCGCGGCGCTGAGGCGGGAGCCACATTTTGAGAACGACCCGCCGTCCATCTGTGAAGCTCATACACACGTTCAAAAAAGAATGCGCGCGGCGCTCAAGCGAGAACCACATTGTGAACACGACCCGCTGTCCATCCGCGAAACTCTTGCATTTCAAACAAAAACCTGCGCAGAGCTCAGGCGAGAACCACATTTTGAAAGCGACCCGCCCTCCACTCGTGAAACTGTTGCACATTCTAAGCTTCAGGATCGTAACTGGTGAGGAAGTCTCAGGCGAATCGCCAGGCCCGCCCTTTCGACCGGCCTCCGGTTGCGACAAGGAAGAATTGTTTATGAGGAAGGGAAGGGAATGGAGGAGGGGGCAGAGGAGGAGGAGGAGGAGGAGGAGGAGGAGGAGGAGGAGGAGGAGGAGGAGGAGGAGCACGAGGAGCAGGAGGAGCACGAGGAGGAGGTCGAGAAGGAGCAGCAGCGGCAGCAAGGGCGGCAGCAAGCCACCGCGGCAGCCGCCGGCCACGGGAGGCAGCCGGGCGCGGGCAGTCCTGCAGCATGGCCTTGCGGTTGTCTCCGAAGCCGGGTGCCTTGATGGCCGCGACCTGCGGCGGCGGCTCCGATGGCGCCCCGATGGCGGCCCCGAGGAGGGGTGGGGAGGACGAGGAGGAGGGGGTGACGGCCCGATGGCTCCCTCCTCCCTCCTCCCTCCTCCCTCCTCCCTCCTCCCTCCTCCCTCCTCCTCCTCCTCCGCCTCCTCCTCCGCCTCCGCCTCCGCCTCCTCCTCCTCCTCCTCCTCCTCCTCCTCCTCCTCCTCGGCCCTGGTGGCTGCCGTTGTCGAGGCTTCCTCCTCGGCCTCCGTCCCTCGTCCTCGCAACGAGCTCCTCAGCTTCCTCCTCCTCCTCCTCGCGCCACCAGGCCTGTCCGCAGGGCGGGCGGGGCGATTGGCCCGAGACTTCTCGTCGGTTGTGATCCGGAAGATTGACATGCAACCTGCGGATTCCCCTAAAGCTCCCACGAATCACACGGAAGGAAGGAGGGTGGGTGGTGTGCACGCCTGTGCTTATCGCTCCAGCGCCGCGCACGTTCGCCTGAAATCGGCATATCAGTGAGAGAAGGTGAAGGGAGGTTCCTTCTCAAAGCGAGGCTTCCCCTCGGGAGCTCCTTCCTTCTGAGCACCGCCCTTTGAACAGTGTGCCACTGATCTTAGTAGTATGGAGGGCAGTTCCTTTTCGAAGTGTGGCTGCCGCGTAAGACCGAGCTCAAAGCTCTGCTCAACAGGCGTGGGCACTGTGCGCCAGCTGCACCGATGGCGGGCGGACCCTCGTGTCGCCGGACTCTTCCTCGGATGTCGAGCGTACCTCCTGGCGGTCCCTGGAAGGATCGGCTGCGGCTCCTGTTCGATACGGGGCCCCCGCCGCGATGGGAGTGCCAAGCGGCGCCCGTCCGTCACACGGGCGCTCCCCTCATCGAGAAGCACTGCCTCCAGGATCACATGGGGGCCAGACTTGGGACGGAGAGGTGTGTGCGCCGCCATCTTTGATACATCCTCGTTCCTCCTCCTCCTCCTCCTCCTCCTCCTCCTCTTCCTCTTCCTCTTCCTTCTCCTCCTCCTCCTCGTCCTTACTGCTCATTCTTGTCACCCTCCTGCTCGATCTCGCCCTCCGTCCTCACGCCTCGCTCCTCTCTCCCCGCTTCTCCTCTCTGCTCCCTCCCCCTTCTGCTCTCCCCTCTTCCGTCTCCTCCTCTTCCTCCTTCTCCTGCTGTTATTTCTTGCTGTAGCTTCTCGCTCCTCGCTCCTTCCCTCCTCCCCCCTCCCCCCCCACAGCCCCCCTTGCTCCTTGCTTCGGCCTTCGGCGTCTTGCGTCCACGCCCCCCCCCCGCCCCTTCCCCCTCCTTCCTCCTTCCTCCTGCTGTGTTCCTCTTCCCTCTTCTCCTCTGGCTTGGCAAAGGTCTGCACTCTGGCTTGGCAAAGGTCTGCACCCGAAGAGGGATGGGGTCTGCGTCTAGCCTTTCTCATTTTGCCCCATCTAGGAGGGACCTGCGGACGTGGATGTCAATCAACGTTCTCCTCCTCCTCCTCCTCCTCCTCCTCCTCCTCCTCCTCCTCCTCCTCCTCCTCCTCCTCCCCTCCCAATTAGCAGCACTGCGCGCCAACGTCGAGCGCCCCGACCCCAGATTGCCGTGCTCGGCACGCAGCTGTGGAGAGCTTTGGGCCCGAGGGGAGTGCCTCGTGTCATCCTGTGGGCCCATGGCCCCTTCATGCACAGGGCACCAGAACAAAGCAGCAGGGAGGCGGATCATCCCCCTGCCCTGCTGCTGCTGCTGCTGCTACTGCTGCTCCTGCTCCTCCTCCTGCTCCTCCTTCACCTTTTCATCCCTCCACCTCCACCTCCACCTCCTCCTCCTCCCCCTCCTCCTCCTCCTCCTCCTCCTCCTCCTCCTCCTACCCCCTCCTCCTCCTCCTCCTCCTCCTCCCCCTCCTCCTCCTCCTCCTCCTCCTCCTCCTCCTCCTCCTCCTCCCCCCCCTCCTCCTCCTCCCTCCTCCTCCTCCTCCTCATCCTCCTCCTCCTCCTCCTCCTCCTCCTCCTCCCCTCCCCCTCCTCCTCCTCCCCTCCTCCTCCTCCTCCTCCTTCCTCCTCCTCCTCCTCCTCCTCCTCCTCCTCCTCCTCCTCCTCCTCCTCCGCCTTCAGGCCAGGGGGGGGCGGGGGGCCTGCAGTCCACCCCGCAGCTTGTTCACGATGAGCATGGCGAGGGCCTCGCCGCTCGCCGAGCCGCGAGGAGGACGACGGGGAAACAGCGGCAGCAACCGGGGTGAGGAGGAGGAGGAGAGGAGTGAGGAGGAGGAGGAGGAGGAGGAGGAGAGGAGGAGGAGGAGGAGGAGAGGAGGAGGAGGAGAGGAGGAGAGGAGGAGGAGAGGAGGAGGGTGAGGAGGAGGAGGAGGGGGGAGAGAGGAGGAGGAGGAGGAGGAGGAGTGAGGAGGAGGAGGAGGAGGAGGAGGAGGAGGAGGAGAGGAGGAGGAGGAGGAGGGGAGGAGGAGGAGAGGAGGAGGAGGAGGAGGAGGCGGGGGAGCTCTTCCTCACCAGCGCGACTCCTGCACCAGAGCACGGGCACAGGAGTGGCCTCCCGCCTCAGAGCCGTGCGCCCCGACTGCTCCGCAGGAGGGGCTCAAGGCAGAGAGCTCGGCTCCAGCGGACGCGACAGGCTGGCCCTCAAGTGGGGCAAGGCAGAGTCGTCTGAAACAAAAAGGAAAACCTGAATTCCTCCTCTTCCTCCTCCTCCTCCTCCTCCTCCTCTTCCTCCTCCTCTTCCTCCTCTTCCTCCTCTTCCTCCCGAATTCTGATCTCTTCCTCCTCTTTGCGCAGACTGGCGTGAACGCCGGCGAGCTGATCGGCAGCAGACTGCAGATCGGGACCTGGAGAGGCAGTCTGAGAGGAGGAGGGCCCTGAAGCCCCGCTGTCATTCTCGCCGGCTTTCGCAGCGAGGGAGAACAGCTCGCCCTGGACAGACGGTGCCTTCGAGCGTTTACCGAAGCAAATCTGTTTCCAGGCCCAACAAGGAAATTGGGAGGCAGTGTTCCGAAGACAGTCCACTCTGAAGTTGCGAACCTGTACGCCAGTCGTACAGGCATAAAACATAGAACTGGCATAGTGGAGGGTCGAACCAGGGAGCTGAAAACTTGCTGGGCATGCGTGTGCTGGCTGATCCCCCTCGCTCTCTCAGGAATCCCCCCTGAACAACCTGAGAGCGAAGGCGCCCTGTCTCTCCGGCTAGGCGTGAGGCACACTTGGCACCGCCAGAATGACCTGCACCGCGGCCAAACATATTCATGCTTGGCAGCTTTCTGCTGCTGCCCACTGCCCAGCAATCTTAAAACACCATCGAGGTTCAGCCGTGGCCACTCTGGCAACACAGTCTTTGCGAGCTTGATCACAGCGCGAGAGGCAAATGTCTGGTCAAAGACGGCTCTATTGTGTTGCTCCGAGGCTCAGGGGTGGCTGTGGCCCCCCAGGAGGAGGTGGAGGAGAAGATGCAAGAGAAAGAGGAGGAGGACATACCGCACGCACGCAGGAGGGGGGAGGGGCAGAGGGAGGAAGATGATGAGGTGGAGATGGGAGGAGGGTGAGGAAGAGAAAGAGGAAAATGAGGCTGAGGAGGATATGGGATGATTATGATGATGACGATGACGATGGCGACGACGGCGACAAGGATGTTTATGATGATGGTGATGGTGACGATGATGATGCTGCTGATGATGGTGATGGTGATGCGGGTGATGCTGATGATGATGATGATGATGATGTTGATGCTGACACTGATGATGCTGATAACGATGATGATGATAATGATGATGATTCTCCCGCTCGCGCGCTAGCGAGCTGTCTCCGTGCGCGGCCGCGGCGTGCGCGCGCGGGGCGGCCCAAAATGGGCAGGCCCGTCCCGCGCGCTCAAGCCGGGGCGCCGCGCGTCAGACGGTGGAGTCCGTCTGGTCGCCGATGTCGGCGAGGCAGCGCCCGTCAGCCTTAGAATGGGAGAGGAGGGAGGGGGGCAGAGAAGCTGCGGAGACAGCAGGAGCTTGCTCACAGAGAATAGAAGAAGCATTCTCCCGCTCGCGCGCTAGCGAGCTGTCTCCGTGCGCGGCCGCGGCGTGCGCGCGCGGGGCGGCCCAAAATGGGCAGGCCCGTCCCGCGCGCTCAAGCCGGGGCGCCGCGCGTCAGACGGTGGAGTCCGTCTGGTCGCCGATGTCGGCGAGGCAGCCATACCCGTGCTCAAGGACCTTGCGAAGTGACAAGGTTTTGGCGGGCGGCCGCAAGCAGGGCAGGCCAAGCGGCGGGGCCGACTTGGAGGAAAGAAGCGACGAGGCGGTCGCTGGCGGTGGCGAAGAACAAGATACGAGCCCGCGCGTGCTCGGGCAGCGCAGCAAGAACTGTCGAGGCGGCGGCGGCTTGCAGGTAGCGCTCGGCACTGGAAGCCTGACGCCAACGCCCACGCCAGAAGACGCGAGGGACGTCTTCCGTAGCGATATAGAAGTCTGTTGCGCCAGAGCCCCGCAGACAAGCGGGCGTCAGGTTGAGCCCCTGACCTGCTTTGGCAAGAGGGACGCCCAGAGCCAAAAGCAGATGATTCCACCGAGTACGGAAGCCGCTCGCACCGAAGGGGGCGAGAGGATCGGTGGAAGCCAACCTTCCAAACACTTGACTCAATATCTTCACCGTGCCCCGATCGGAGCAGCGAGCATGTTGCGTCGGGTACGTTCTTCTGGTCTTTGGAACAAGAATTGAAAGAAAAGCATCCCCTTCGACTTCGAGACGGTCGCATGGAAGCGACAGGTCACAGCGGCGTGACGCCAGCAGTTCGCCAGGCCTGAGGAACATCGTGAAGCCCATGAGCAGCAGCGCCGCCATCACAGGCCAGTCCCAGGCGAGACAGAGCCCGACCATGGCGCGCAGCAGCGCGCGTGGCAAGGGGGGACGGAGCTTTGGCGGCTCCGCAAGCTTCCATTGTTTCGCTACGTCCCAAGCTTCTGTCAGAAAGGCCTTCCAATGCGGATGGGCGCTTTGGATTCCCAAGATGGCATGGACCAAAATATAATGAGGGAAACCTGCATCATGAAGCCACACGCCGAAGGTCGCGAGGAAACGAGCGAGAAGTATCCCGCTTCGGTAAAGTGTGGCGGGTGGCACGCCAGTGTGTTCTGCTAACCACAGCTCGAAGGCATCAATCGATCTCGAGCGACGGTCGAGATACGCGGAGGTGAGGTGAGAATCGCGCACGAAGGGAGTGCGCGGAGGGCGAGCGGGCGCGGACGGCGCAGCCCGACTAAGCCCTTGGCCTGCGGTCGGCGCCGCGGCTCCCAGAGAGATGCAGAGGCCGCAGACGCACCACAGGATGAGCGCAGGGCGGCCAGGGCTTGGAGAGCTGATCACCGTGGCGGCCCTCCTGCGCCTGGACGCGTAGAAGGGCGGAACGAGGGCGTCCCGCCCGTCGGTCTCGAACCCCGACGCCTCCGCCAGCATCGCCCGCGCCGAGCTGAAGGACCCGCCCATGTTACGGTAGGCACGGCGAGCCCCTGCTTCGATCTCGGCTGGCAGAGCGTCCCCTCTCTCGAGGGTCGGCCAGTCAAAAGGCGGGCGCGGCTCGGCACGCGCAGCTGCGGCTGCTTCGGCAAGCTCGGAACGAGCTGCCGAGGACGTGAGGCCCGAATGATGTGGCACGGGCACCACCTCCGCGAAGGCGTCGAGGATCTCGGACGGAGGGGAATGGGATCCCCACAGCGCTGCTGGGATGGCGCCGTGACTGTCCTGCACGTGGTACAGAAGGTCGAAAAGGCAGGCCAGTTTGCCCGCGCGCCGCCGCTGCTCGATCTTTGAGCCGAGCCCGATGCCACGGATGGCGCCCGCCCCCATGGCCTGGAGGTCAGCATCCGCGGGGATCGCCTCGGGCTCGACGATGGCCACGTAAGGATGCAGCCACGAGGCCTCGTCAATCGGCTCGGCGCCGCCTGTCTGAAACAGGCGCTTGTAGGCGTGCAAGGCCCGCAGGAGGCAGTGCAGGTCATCCTTGCCCTCAGGCTCGGCGGCCCCTGCGGGTGCAAAAGTCCTCAGCCACGACGCCGCGCTCTGGAAAGCACCTTGCCAGGCGGGTCCCCACCTCACCACTGTGATCTTCTCACCGCCTAGGTTGAGGCGCCACGCTAGGGCGCTGGCGGCCCCTGGAGGCAAGGGCTGCTCAGTGGCCGCCGAGGCCGTGCGCCGCGCTGCGAAGGCTGCAGCCGCGGCGCTTCCAGCGTCACCGCTGTGAGAGCCGCTGAGAGGCAGCTCGGGCTCAGAAGCTCGACCAAGCGCGAAGCCGCTCGAAGACCCCCCTTTCTCGGCGGCACGCCCTCCTCCCTGCGGGGCCGCAACAGCATCGCTGGAAGAGCGCATGCCTACCGAAGTCGGAGGGGCCTGAGCAGCGGAGTCCGCGCGGGAGCTGGCTGGCCGCTGCGAAGTGGCGGGGCTCGGGCGACGCTTCGGAGCGACTCGAGGGGAGCGCACCACGCGACGCCCAGGCGACGCACGGGAACGCGACGCCGCACGCCCACCAGAGTGGTGACGGGGTGGCGATGGCGGCGGGGGGACGGGCCGCGGCGTCTCGGAGCCAGCACGCGTGCCGCGGCCCCGAGAGCGGCTGCGAGCCGCAGCGTGAGCGGCGGGCGGGGAGGCCTCCGCGCGGCGAGGGAAGGCCGCCTGCAAGCGGCGGAGGGCCTCAGGGTTAAGGCCCGCCACGACGCGCTCGAGGTCCACCGAGGAGTCAGTGAGGGCACTCAAAACGACGTCCTCGAGCTCCGTCGGTGAGTCCTCCTCGCACGCGGGCTCCGCTCTCGAGCGGCTGCGGGCGCTCGCTGGAGGAGACCCCTCAGGAGTGTGCGGGCCTTCCGATGCCTCCCCCGCCGGCGGCCCCGACGGCTCCTCAGGCGCGCTCGAGACGTCGATGGGAGGCGAGGAGCAGCCTCCCGAGGGGGAAGTGTGATCAGTCCCGTACGGGTTCGGAGACCGCGTACGGCTGCGGGCAGGGCTGCGGCTCCGCGGTGGAGGGCCCACTCCCGCGGCGGAGCTGGGGCGTGCCGCGCCTGCCCAGCGACGCGCATTAGCAGTGCGACGCGCCCTGCGGCCCGGCGTCGTGGCGGCTCCCTCTTCAGGGGCGGGTAGCGCCGCCGTCGAAGCTCGCCGCTGCTTCTTGGCGCGCTTGTTGCGCGCGGCGCCCGTGCGCGAGGCGGAGTGTGGCGCGTGATCACCGCGATTGGGCTGGTCCTCGACAGCCTCGTCCCGCGGGCCCAGGCGGGCGCGGACCGCGCGCCCCTCGCGACGGCTGAAGCTGGACGCTGGGTCGTCGGCAGGCCTCGCCAAGGTGCGCGGGTCCTCAGCTTCCACCTCGGCCAGAGAGCGCCCAGTAGACGACGCGGGGGCGTCCCCAGCACGAGCGGCGCGATCCGCGTTGGCGAGGCCCGTCGAGACCTCAGCGTTGTGCAGGACGGCGCGCAGAGTTTTGCGCCAATCCCGACCCAGCTGGACGGGAGCCGTACGCGGCAAGCCCGCGGCCTCACGACTGGCGGCCTCGCGCAAGCGACGGAAGTAGGCGCGGTCGGCCATCCCTTTCGCGAGCTCAGCACGAGCGACGGCACGCTCGCCTTCGCCGCGTGCTGGAGCCTGCACCGTGCGCCTGGTGGCGTCGGCACGCGCGGTGCGGAGTGCGTCGAGCTCCACGCGGCCGCGCGACACGGCGGAGGCGAGGATGGCATCAGACTCAGCCGCCCGCGTCGCGAGGGCAGACGAAACCCTGCTTGGGAGAGGCGCACCCGAGGCGGGGAGGGCAGCCCGAGGGGCCAGCTCGGCACTCGCCAGGGCGACCCGCGAAGAGACCGCTTCCTCGAGCGCCTGAAGGGCCATGGCCGACCCAGGAGCCAGCTTGCCCTTGCGGGCGCCCTTCCCTGCCGCTTTTGCCTGGGCGAAGGCGCGAGCGGCAGGACCGTCACCGCCCGTGCTAGGAGCGGCGGGCGGCGCGGCGGCCTGCGAGAGGGCCTGGAGCAGCACTGACTTGGCGTCGCAGAGCTGCTTCCACTTGAGCGCGCGGGCTGCTCGCTCGTCGGCCCCCAAGTGTGCAGGAGTCCTGTCTGGATGGTAGACCAGGGACTGGCGCCTGAAGGCGGCCTCAATGGTGCTGCGCGAGGCCCCGTCCACGACGCCAAGCAGCTGGCGAGAGGCGCTCACCCTGGCCGCTCGCTGGAAGACGCGGGGGGTAGCAGCCGTGGCCCCCTTTGGCGCTTCCCGCGAGCCGACGCGCGACGAGCCCCCCCCGATCGCAGGCGGAGGGGCCGCCGCGGCCTTGGAGCGGAGGGCCAGGGGCGGCGCACGCTTGGCGGCGGGGGGAGCCGAACCAGCGCTGGCGGCGACAGGGTCGGGGCCGTGCGAGCCGCCAGCCGAGGACGCAGACGCTTTGGGCGTGGCGTCTGCTGTGGATGTGAGACGCCGATCGCAGTCAGCGAAGAGCGCGTTGCGAGGCCCGCGACGCTCTCCGCTGGCGAGAGCAGCTTCGCTGATGCTCTCGGCGGCGCCCGAGGGGTCGAGGGCTTCGCCCTGGGCGCCGTCGCCGGCGGCGTCGGCGGCCATGCCCGCACCCACCGGGAGGGGGGGGGCGGCCGCCCAACGGTGGCTGAGCAACCCCTCGGGGCCTCGAGCCACAAGCTGCGCAACAAATCGGCCCCAGAGACAGGTAGGGAATGGCGAGCGAGAGTCGGCGTACGCGATGCAATCAAAGCGAGTAAATTCTCCTCTCTCGGCTTCCACTAACCAGGCGGGAGGGTCACGGGACGGGGGCCTCACCGCGCGGTTGCGCGTGGGATCGTCGGCCCTATGCACGTCCGTGGGCACGTACATGCCTCCCATATATAAACCTCCTCCTATCACATAGGGCAAAGTGGTCGAGAGAACATGAGATAGACCAGGAGAGCTGCTGCGCCCGTGCGCGGTCGCGCCCAAAGCCACTTTTGAATCCAGGAGAACGGGGATCCGAGAGTCAGGGAGGCGAACACAGCAGTATTTGCACAGACTCTTATACACTGTTGTCTCAAGGATGTTGATGTGACGAGGCATGCGGAACTCCCATTTGTACGCGAGCCGAAAGCGCAGCGCCTCTGATAGCTCGGTGACCCAACGCGGCGCGACGGGGGGCTCAATAGAAGGGAGCCCCAGGTCGTGATGCAGTTGGGTGAGCTCAGGGCCCAAGGGCACGCCGCGGCTGAGTACGGCGAGGAGGCTCCGATTGTGCAGAATCGTGTGCCACCCCCCGTGCTCCGATCTGCGCCACAGCTCGGCAGAGAGCTGCGGGCTGATAGGAGCGCGGACAACGCCCCCCCAGCCGAGAGACGCGTCCGTACCGAACAACTCGGGGCAAGGCTGCGCCCGAAGGTCGGTTATAGCCGTAAAGGCTAAGAAGGTGCAGGCCAGGAGCTCGTCGCGAACATAAGGGGGCAGGTCGTATTCGATGCCGTCCTCGGTTGCCAGGCGCGACAAGAAGTTGTAGACGTGCGTAAAGATGGCGAGCATCGGGCGGCGATAGAGGAAGACCTGGACCCAGCAGCCCACCAGAGAGGCTAGCAGGGAGCGGGTGGTGATCCCGAGGTAGATTTGGATCAGGGTCAGCCTGCACAGGGCCACCGTCCGCACAAGAGGAGCGCAGACGATGCCTATGCGCCCCTCCACCTCGGCGCCCACCACCACCTTGTGCGTTTCGCCGCGCGCGCGCTTGCCTGGATGCTGTATCAGGCCCACGCGCGGGTAGCCCGCATCACAGGCGGCAAAGACCTCACGATCACGGCGACACGGGTCGTCGGGGCGAGGAGCGGAGCCACGCCACGAGAGCTTCTGAAAACCTGTATGGTCATCAATATTCAGCATCTCGACAAACGGGCCCCGCGGGAAGGGCGAGCGGTGGACAACCTGCTCGTGAGGCCGCAAAGCCCCGAAGCTGTGCAAGACGCCTTCATGCGCAGAGTTGGCAATCTCCACAGCCATGTTGTCGCCCATCGCCAGAGCATTGAGGCAGGGCGCGACATCCACACCTTCCAGCTCGGGGCGCCAGGCTCGAAAGGCCTTGAAACGCGAGGATGGCAGGCGAACGCGCAGGGCGTTACGTCTGGCGCGCGCGGGGGGGACGCGGAAAGTATAGTAAAACTCCCGTAGGTCGTCACAAGAAACTGCCAGCCACTCCCCAGGTGCCAGCCCCAAACGGCACAGCAGGAAACCTTGGCCAAGGCGCTGGGTGCTGGACGAAATTGAAGCACAGCGGCTGTTCACGACCGTGGGGTTCAGGATCAGCCTGTCGTAATCGCTGTCCTTCGGTACCCTGAAAGCTCCACAGGCTTCATCCCAGGCGAGGTCCGAAGCAGGAGTCAGGTACAGGGCGCCGCAGGCATCCCACTTCTGGAGTAGGGCCCACAGCTCGGCGCGGTCCATATGGACGCGCGCACCCTTCTGGCCAGCAGGCCACTCTGATGCCGGTAGCCGCATAACCTCAGGATCGATGAAAGCTTCGCGGACTCGAGCGTCAGAGAGGAAGGGAACGGGATCAAACTCTGGCGAATAATCCCACTTGATGCGAGACGCCCTGACTTTCAAATCGAAGGGCTCGGCCTGGGTGGAGTCCCAAGCCGCCGCAGTCGCCAACGACCCAGGCACAGGAGGAGCGCCGGTCGGGCAGTGCCGCATGGGGGCGGGTACGGAAGAAGAGGAGGTGAAAGAGGCCTCCAAAGCTGCAACATGGGTGGCCAGGCCATGGAGCGAGACCTCAGTGGAGTCGAACTTGGCGAAGGGCACTTGGGCAGAGAAGCTGCGGAGACAGCAGGAGCTTGCTCACAGAGAATAGAAGAAGCATGATGATGATGGTGATGAGGATGATGGTGATGATGATAACGATGACGATGCTGATGCTGATGATGGTAGTGGTGAAGATGATGATGATGATGATGATGATGATACTGATGATGGTGATGGTGATGGTGATGATGATGGTGATTATGATGATGATGATGATGATGATGATGATGATTTTTTTAAGTATTATTAGGAGTAGTAGTAGTGGTAGTAGTGGTAGTAGTAGTAGTAGTAGTAGTAGTAGTAGTAGTAGTAGTAGTAGTAGTAGTAGTAGTAGTAGTAGTAGTAGTAGTAGTAGTAGTAGTAGTAGTAGTAGTAGTAGTAGTAGCAGTAGTAGTAGTAGTAGTAGTAGTAGTAGTAGTAGTAGTAGTAGTAGTAGTAGTAGTAGTAGTAGTGGTAGTAGTAGTAGTAGTAGTAGTAGTAGTAGTAGTCGTAGTAGTAGTAGTAGTAGTAGTAGTAGTAGTAGTAGTAGTAGTAGTAGTAGTAGTGGTAGTAGTAGTCGTAGTAGTAGTCGTAGTAGTAGTTGTAGTCGTAGTCGTAGTCGTAGTAGTATGATGATGATGAGGAGGAGCGGGTGGAGGATGGTGAGGGGGGAGAGAGGTTTTTGGTTCAAGCAAGCCCCACCAGTGTCCCCAACGTCCAGGATGGCCGAGGTTTGCAGGCCACGCAAGGTGAGCTGACCGAGCAAACTGGCGGCGGTCGCGCACCATCAGGAGGACGATGGCGGGCGACGCTGGATCCGAAAGCAAACGGGCGGCTTCGAGAGCCGACTGGCCCCCTTCCTCCTTCCACCGCATGCGGCTCCTGAGCATACAGTCGGGGCGTTGACCTGAGGAACCCTAAATAAGGAACGAGGCCCCTTTTTTCCATAAGTTGAACTTCGATTTCCTGTCGAAGATATAAGGAAAACCTGAGGCAAGCTGTGAAACACTTAAGGAACGCGGAGCCCCTCCCCAACGAAAAGGGTTCCTTCTTCAGGGCCCCGACTGTATCCTGTTTCGGTTTCATCCCGTCCCCTCCGATCCAGTTGCCTCTGCCATCCTGCTCACTGTGGTTGTCGTTCCTCCTCCCAGGCCCGCAACTAGTTAATCTTCCTCCTGCTTGTCTCCTGGTCCTCGGACTTACCCTTCGAACGCGCCTCATCACCCTGCTCTTCCTTCTGCTTGCTCTTCAGGCCGCGTCTACCTGTACAACCACCCGAGGTTCAGCCGGGTGCCTCCGAATCCACATCCTCGGCGCAGATGAGCAGCGGCTTCTGGAGCTTTGCCACCTGCTCCAGAATCGGGAGGATGGACTGGACGGAGGAGATCTTCTTCTCGTAGAGGAGCACCTCCCTCCCGAGATCTGCCCCGCCGGGGCTCTGGAGTGCAGCGAGCTCTCGGCGGCTGCACCGTCCGCCAGCTCGACGTCTTCCGCTCGCACTGCCCTCTGCCCAACTCTGCCTGGCACTTCGCCGTCGCCCTCCATTGCGCGGCCAGCTCGCCGAGCCTCCGCCCTCCCCGCTCGCCGTGCTATGGCTGCTCGTGCTCCCACCCCTCCTCCTCCTCCTCCTCCTCCTCCTCCTCCTCCTCCTCCTCCTCCCCCTCCTCCTCCTCTAGCTCCTCCTCCTCTTCCTCTAGCTCCTCCTCCTCCTCCTCCTCCTCCTCCTCCTCCAGCTCTTTCTGCTGCTGGCTCTATTCCTCGTCCTCCTCGTCCTCCCTTGCTCTTCTCCCCATCTGCGCGCCTCCGCAAGGCCGCCCTAAGAGGACGGCAGCTGAGCGGCCCCCGCCGCGACGCGCGAGGCTCGCCCATCTTCGCGCCCCTGCGCTGGGGACTGGGGAGGAAGCGCGGACGGGGAGGGGAAGTGGAGCTACGGGCTAAGGGGCGGCGAGAAGGAAGGGGGGGGGGGGGGGAGGCGGAGGGTGGGTCAGCGGCCGGGGGAGAGAGAGGCCTCTGCAGCCACTGACTCCGCATCGTCGATGCTCTGGGCGTCGCTCGACTGCCCCAAATCATCCTCGGCCCCCCTCTCAGGACGTGCTGCTCCTCGTCGTGCAGGCGCCGCTCCCGCTTGCCGCTCGCTCGCTCCACTCCTCGGGCTGCACGTGCCCCGCTCTGGAGACGGGGGGACCCTCCTCCTCCTCCTCCTCCTCCTCCTCCTCCTCCTCCTCCTCCTCCTCCTCCTCCCCCCTTCGTTCGCCGCCGACGAAAGACCCGCGCCTCACAACCGTGCTTGCCACGATCACCACGACTGCCTCTCGCAGTCGCGGCCGGCACGGCCCACCAGCGGGGATTCTCGAGCCCGTGCTTGCTCGGAGGCGCCGCTCCCGAATCCCGCGGCCCGTGCTTGCTCGGCGGCGCGCAGAACGGGGGGCAGGGGGAGGGGGAGAGGCTTCTCAGAAGGAGGCTGTTCCTCAGAAGGCGCCCGCCTCACATCTGCGGACGAGGCCCGCGCCTTCTGAGAAGCAGGCGTGCTCCTAAGAAGCCTTCCCCCCTCCCCCTGCCCCCCTCTGCGCGGGGCTCGTGCTTGCCACCATCACCACGACTGCCTCTCGCAGCCACAGCCGGCACGGCCCACCAGCGGGTTCTCGAGCTCAACCTTCTGGGCTTTCGCGTTGGTGACGAAGTACGGCGAGATGTAGCCTGACGGCCGAAGGGGCCGCTCTGCTCCGCATCACTACTGCCTTGCGCTGCTGCTCTGCCGCTCGTCCCTCCCTCCCCCAAATCCTGCACGCCCCCCTTCGAGGAGGAGGAGGAGAAGAAAAATCCTCGGTCCTACTGCTCCTCCTCCTCCTCCTCCTCCTCCTCCTGCTCCTCCTCCTCCTCCTACTCCTCCTCGTCCTCCTCCTCCTCCTCCTCATCATCATCAGCAGCATCATCGGCACCATCGTCATCATCATCAGCAACATCGTCGTCATCACCATCGGCACCCTAATAATAATAATAATCATCATCATAATCATCAGCAGCATCATCATCACAATCATCATGATAACCATCATCATCGTCGTCACCATCATCATCATCGTCATCATCATGATCATCAGCATCGTCAGCATGATGAGGATGATCATCATAAGCGGCATCACCATTATCATCAGCAGCAAAGTCATCACAATCAACATGCCCATCATCAGCATCATCATCATCACCAGCAGCATCATCAGCATTGTTATCATCCCCATCGTCATCATCATCAGCAGCAGCAGCAGCATCATCATCATCATCAGCATCATCATCATTATCATCATCATCGCCACCACCACCACCATCATCATCAGCATCATCATTGTCGTCGTCGTCATCGTAAGCAGCATCAGCATCAGCATCATCATCAGCATCAGCAGTCATCTTCGCCATGACCATAATCATCACCAGCATCATCATCAGCAGCATCAGCATCATCAACATTAGTAATACCATCATCGTCATCATCATCATCAGCAGCATCATCAATATCATCACCGTTGTCGTCGTCGTCATACGCAGCATCAGCATCAACACCATCATCATCAACATCAGCATCACCATCATCATCATCACCATCATCGCCATCGTCATCAAACTGATCCACACCCTCACCACTCATCCTCATCCTCATACTCATCATCCTCCTCATCATCATCACTATCACCACCATCATCATCATCATCATCATCATCATCATCATCATCATCATCATCAGCTGGGAAGATGCATTCACGCAGGATCGTGTCCGGATCTGCACGACCAAATCTACAGAAAGGGGCGGCGGGAAGTAGGGCAGGAGGGAGGGGAAGACGATGAGGAGGATAATGAAGAACAGCCACAGGGGAAAGGGAGCTGAGGATATTGAGGAGACAAGGGTGGAATACAGTAACGATCAGGACGAGACGAAGAGGATGAAAAAAGGGATCGCGAGGAGGGGGTGGAGGAGGAGGCGGAGGAGGGGGGGAGGAGGAGGAGGAGGAGAGGAAGAAGAAGAAGAACGAATGCCACCTGAGGGGCAGGCACGTATAAAGAATAAGCATACTAATAAGAATAATAAGAAAAATAATAATACTAAGAAGAAGAAGCACAAGAAGAAGAAGAAGAGGGGGAGAAGGAGGAGGAGGAGGAGAGGAGGAAGAAGAGGAGGAGGCGGAAGAGGAGGATGCGGCCAGGAAGAGCTTTGTGGGGCGAAGAAAATAAGAGGAAGGGCTGGAGACGGATACGGACAGGGGGACAGAAGGGGCGGATTGGAAGGGAGAGACGGAGGAAGGGGAAAACGAAGAGGAGACGGAGAGGAGGAGAAGAAGGAGGAGGAGGAGGAGGAGGAGAGGAGCAGCAGAGGAGAGGGCAGAAGGCACAGGGGGGCTAAGAGGACGGGGCGGGGGGGGGGCAAGCGCCACTTGGAGAGGCGAGGGGGCGGACCTGGAAGAGAGAGGCGGTAGTTGAAATATCCACGAAGAGGAAGCGAGGATGAGGGGGGGAGCACGCACGGGAGGCTGAGGATAGTAGAATAGGCGGCAGAACAAAAAACGAATCCGACGATCTTCCTCCGATCCCCATGCAGGCATGAAAGTGCACCTGCACGCGCACGCGCGCACGCGCACGCACAAAAACGAGCACGCACATGCACATACACACACACACTTTCACACACGCACACACACACTCTCTCACTCATACACTCATACACTCATTCACTCTCCTTCACAAGCGCACGCACACGCACGCACCACGCACACACGCACGCACAAGCACACACACACACGATGATGGGCACCGCCCGCTACGCAACTCCAACTTTGGCGGAAGGGCAGCCGCAGCCGCACCCCGGCCGTTGCTCCCCCCGGTTGCTTCCATTCCATCCCGGTCCGCTTGTCCCCTCTTGGCTGTCCTAATCATCCTTTCGTCCTCCTCCTCCTCCTTCTCCTCCTCCTCCTCCTCAATATTTCTCCTCCTCCTCCCCCTCCTCCTCCCTCCCCCAGTCCTCCCCCCCCACGCGGGCAGGGCGAAGTAAGGCCAGCAGCCCAACGCACTAGGACGTGTAATTCATGTTGACCCGATCTGTAGCATTTGTGCCAAGATATTGACAAAAGGAACGAGGACAACGGACGGGCGGGGCACGCTAGCGCCACATGGGGGGGGGAGCTACGAACGATCTAGAGCGGGACACACACGTTGGCGATGCCAAATGTTGTCGCGGAAACTTGCTAAGCGGGACGCAACTGGGCGATACCAAATGATGTCGCGGAATTTTCCTGGGCGGGGCGCCCAACGACGGCCCAGGTGGGCAACCTCGGACACTTTGGGGTTCTATGGCAGGCCGCGGAAGGGTTGCACGTAATACACGATTTCCGCGCCCCCCCCCCCCCCCCCCACGAATGACACAGCTTAAATTGAAGCGTTGTTTCAATGATTATGCGTCCGAATCCACGCGATGCTTTCATCGGGTCGGGCGAAAGGGGGGGATAGCAAAGGGGGGGCTTGAGAATCAGCTCACGTAGCTGATTTTCCCGGCGCCTCCGGCGCCGGAGGCGGCTATGTATCGAGGAATGGGCCCCTCGGTGAGGCCGAAACCAGCTGCATGCAGCAAATTTCGTAACCCCCCCTTTCCCAATCCCCCCTTTCGCCCGGCCCGATTTCAGATTTCTCCCGACACTGGACTCATTATGACCGAAGCTGCCTTACCACCCAACGGGTGCACCAACCAAGCAATTTACATCAAAGCCCCTGGGCGTGGCCAATTAGTTTGGTGACAGCGCCCAGCCAGCCAGCTGGTTAGCTGGCTGGAGGTTGCTAGCCAACCACTTGGCCGCAGGTTGCGTGGCCAACCAGATGGCTGGCAGCGCCCAGCCAGCCAATTGACTGGCCGGCTGGAAATTGCTGGCCAACAACTTGGCCGCGCAGCCAGGCATCCACTTGGCCGCAAGGCCCCCTGGCAGCCAACTAGTTGGCTTGCGCTCGCCCGCCGAGCCAACGAGTTGGCTGGCCACACCCAGCGGGCAAACCAGTTGGCTGTGGGAGCCGGGGCAAACCACTTGGTTGCCAGGCCCCTTCAGCAAAAGAGTTAATTACGAAGCGAGGGTCTCCAATGTAACTGGTTTGGTCTTCGCGCCCACTGAGTGGCAAGACAGCGTCGATCACAAATGCGCCCAGGGACAGGCGAATTAAAAAATCAACGCGCGGAGCCGATCATATATGATAGCAATACACAGTTCCCACAGGAAGCACGCAAACTCCGAGGCGAGCAAAAACTTTGATGATTCTGGGCCCCCTGGCTGCAAGGAAGCGAGCTCTCCCGACCTCCACCGCTGTCGCTGATTTGCACGCCCAGCCCGCGCGCGATCGAAACCGAGTGCAACGATAGTCCGACGCTAAAGGGCCTCCGCGCCCAGCGAGCAAGAAGAGCAGGTTGGAAGTGGCAGTGGAGAGGTATGAGGAGCAGAACGAAAACGGGCCAGAAACAGGACGAAAAGGAGCGGAGGAAGCCGGCTAGCAGGATCAGGGCAACAAAGAGGAAGCGGAGCGGAGGTAGAGGACGAGGGCGACGACCAAGCGGGAGAGAAGATTCAGAGGGAAGGAGGAGGATGATATGGCGAAGTGGGAGTAAGAAGGGAAACGATTGCCGACGGGAGGGTTCACCGCATCCAATCGGCGTCACAACAAATAGCCCGGCCATCGGCCTTCTTGGCCGCGCACTCGCGTGGGTTCGAAGGCGGGGGAGCCCAGAATACCACTACAATCCCCTACCCCTTTTCCCGATATCTTCGTTCTTCCTTGTCCCTCCCCTGACCCCGCCCCCCCTCCTACCTCTCTCCATCTCTCCGCGACCTACCCGCTCCTCTGCACACCAGGCACGACTCCCCGATCGTGTTTTGTATCGCATATGTGGGTCAGGATGAAAAAGACACGTTGTCGCTCCGAGAGCCGCTGGAAAAAATCAGAATGCCATCTGCCCCCTGGCGTTTTGCATACGGTCCCCCTCCCTCCGGACACATATTTGATGTACTGCGCGAGGGCGCAGAAGGCTACATTCTCCGACGCGTGCGATTCCGCTTGCATGCGAGAGTCCGCACGCCCAGGAGCTCCCTTGCACCTTCCCAATCATCAGCAACATCATTACCGTCATCAGCAGCGACAGCATTATCATTATCACCGTCGTCATCCTCCTTTCCCTTTTTCTCCTCCTTCTCGTCGTCATCATCGCCAACGTCATCGTCATCATCATCATCATCAGCATCATCCGCATCATCGTCGTCATCACCATCATCACCAACATCGTCGTCATGAACATCGTCATTCACATCGTCATCACCACCATCATCATCGTCGTCGTCATTTGTATCCTCCTCGTCCTCCTCGTCCTCTTCCTCTCCCTCCCCCCTCCTTCCCCTTCCTCCTCCTCCTCATCATCACCATCATCATCATCGTCGTCATCATCATCACCGACATCACCATCATCATCATCAGCAGCATCATCATCATCAGCATTATCATCACCACCCACCTCCTCCAAAAAGCGAGGGGGCCTCCTCGAAGAGGGGGGAAGGGGGGGAAGGTCGTCGAGGCGACGCTGAGCAGCGGGCCCCGGTCGAGCTTCATGCCCTCGACGACCTCCAGCTCGTGCTCCATGGTCTTGCCGTCCGAGACGGTGATGGTGCCGTCTTTCCCGACCTGCGGCGCCGGGGGCGCCTCCCCCCTCGAGCATGCAGGCCTTTTTCCCCGGCCTACGGGGGAGAGGGGCACGGGGAAACGAGGAGGGATTGGGGAAGCAGGAAGGGCGATGAAGGGGGAGAGGGGAAGGAGGAGGAAGAGGAAGGAGGAGGAAAAGGAGGAGCAAACGTTGCCTGAGAGGGCGCGTCCGTCTGTGAGCCGAGCTACGGCTCGCCAGCCCCGCCCGACAGATCTGCAGGCAGCTTCAGGGCTCGGCGAGCGGCGGCAACGGCAGTCGTCTGCTTGTTGTATGACATCGGGATGTCGTCGTCCTTCGTCAGGTGGTATGTCCTGGTGGCCACGGAGAGCCTGGCAATGCTGTTGGGGATGCCGTTCTCGCCATGGAACGGCTCGGTCAGCTCAGGAAGGCCGAGCCTCGTCGTGATGTTGGTGCTCTGCTGGCCGCGCGGTAAGCTCAGCTGGTGCCACATCCGATCGCATATGAGGTAGTGCTGGATGCTGTCGTCGGCGTGTGGGCATCCGAAATGGCATGGGCGCTTGGTCGGGATCACGTGCATCCTGTGCGAGGTCGTCCACGCGCCCGCTAGGACCTTCAGGGCGCTCCACAGCCTGGCGGGTGGCAGGGTCGCGAGGTGGGTGCGGAGGAGCGTCCACCGAGCGAGGAGATCATCAGGAACTTGCTGGACTTGAAGGAGGTCACGTTGTGCATCGGCGTCGGCAGGTGGGTCTTCGGCGCCCATGTCGTCGTCGTCGTCGCGGTGAATGTCGTCAGGGTCGGCGTCGGGCTCCAGACATGGCAGGATGTGCTCGATCCAGCGGCGTCGGGCACGGTGTTGGGCGGCCTCGTAGCTGAACAACGAAGTGCGACTGCGTGGCGATCGGCTGCGTGGCGACTCGCTCTGTGCTTCTGGGCGGGCCAGGCGGCGCCCCTGGAGAATTCGTCCAGTGCCGCTGGTGCCCCGCGACTGTGTGCACATATCGACGACGATGCGGTCTCGCCGCGTGTCGGCGGCGTGCAACGGCTGGAGCAGGTCGGAGCCGAGCAGCTCGTGCATGTAGGGGACGCACCATTGCTTCCAGTCCTCTTGACTGTTGATGCGTCGGTCGTTCATAAGGGGGTCATGCAGCCAGTGCGCGGCCCATGAACGCGCCCTGTTCAGAAGACGCTCCTGGGCACGTTCAGCTTCACGTCGCGGTCCAGATGGCGGTTCGCGTGTAAGTTGGCGAGCAGGGTCCAGCAAGGAGGTGCCACACGATCAGGCGGCGCTCGATGGTGTCAGGCATGGTGTCGACGTAGAGCTGCTCGTTCAGCGACTTCATGTTGGCTTCCTGCGGCGTGATCTTGGCAGGTTTTCGATGTTGATGGCGGTCAGGTTGCTGAGATAGGCGAGGGGCGTGGCGTTGAAGGATGGCTTGCTGTCTTGCTCTGGCGGCGCGCCTGCGGCTGGCGACCGCGGCGGCTCGCGCGCGGGGTCGGGGCCCAGCAGTGCGTGTCAGGCGTTTGAGATGTGAAACTCTGCAGTCGGCGAAGAAGGTGGAGTTGGCGGCACCCTCGAAGCGCTGGACGATGGCGGTCTTCATCTCCCAGCAGTCGTTGCACCACGCGCCTTGCAGTGCCGTGGTGACGGGAAGCTGGTCGTAGACGGTGTCGCAAAGTTCGCGATGTGCGCGTCTCCACTCTGCCACAATAGTAGACGCCGTTCTCCAGAGGGTGGCGGCCGGGTAGGTCTCCATGCCGCTGGAGACCTCATGAGACCTCCACGTTCGTCCAGAGCGACATTGCGAGGACGTCGGACTTGGCGAAGCTGGAGGGGGCGACGCGCAGCAGCTTGTTGATGGCCTGCAGCTCCTTCTGCAGGATGCCCTCGGGCGGTTCGAGAAGCTGGCTGACGTAGCCCAGGAACGCGACGGCGGCGACGTTGCACAGCATGATGCCTGGCCGGATGGGGGCGCGCGAGGCGGCGAGCTTCTCCGCGCGGCCCCACCACTGCACTGCGGGGCCACGCCATTGGTCGGCAAGCGTGGCGCCTGGGCCCACGTAGATGCCAAAGTAGCGGGCTTTGGGCTCGATCTTGAAGTTGAACCACGGGGCGTGAGCAGCCGCGAGGACGCGTCGCATCTCGGTTACGAGGTCGTGCGACGGAAGGGCCCAGGTCGGGGCGACAATGCGCTTCTTGGCCTGGGGCTGGAGGCCTGCCAGGGTCTCGGCCGCGATCGCGTGGGGGGCGAGTGCGCTGACGTCGGCCAGCCTGGCGAGGACGACGCCGAGGTCGTCGGCGCAGGCGCTGACGAGCCCGCGGTGGATGGCGTTGAGCTTGCTGCTGATGGCGATGATGGGGCCGAAGACAAGCGCCCAGATCGTGCCGCGCAAAGGGGCGCTCCTGAGCAACGCCCGATGCATCGATCAGTAGTGGGCGATGTTCTCCTCCCATGTCGAGGAACGGGACGGGCCAGAAGTAGCAGGCCTGGATCAAGCGCATCATGCGGCCGTGAATGCCCCAGCGCCCGAGAACGTTCCACATCCACTGGTGGCCGAGGCTGGGGGACGCAGCTGCGATGTCCATGCTGGCGAAGACGGGCGTGTCTGAGGAGGCTGAAGGGGATGGGCTGCGTCGGCGCGCGGCGGCGTCCACGACGACGTCGTTGTTCAAAAACTGGCGGCCGCTGGCGAAGCCCTGCTGCTCGGGGGGCGCCCGGGCGGCAAGGGCGTGGAGCTGGCGGTGGGCGGTGGGCGCCTGCAGCTTCACGCCCAAACTCTTCATTGAAAGCGGGCGAAGGCAATCGGGGGAGCTCGCGCACTCCGCATTGCCCGATGGCTCGTCGCCTATCGGCAACGTGGCCATGAGAGAGAAGTTCAGGTTGCGCGGGGCGTTATAATTGGCGGCGATGTCGTTGCAGGCGTCGGCGAGGGTGTCGAAGCTGTCGGGCGCGCGGAGCTGCGCTCGGCATGGTAGACCGTCGGGGCCAGGGGCTGCATCCGCAGCAAGGCGCGCTGCCTTCTCAAGCGCTTGCTCGTCGGGGAGCGATCGATCTGCTCGCTGGCGCCGGGGGGGGGCAGAGTCGAGGCAGTCGGCGAGACGCTTCTCGCCCGCGTGCTTCTCGGCGAACACGGGGGCCCAGTGACGCATGATGGCCTGGTGCATGGCGGCAGGGTCTGTCACGACGTTGGACGATTTGCCGACGATGGTCTTGATGCCAGTCAGCACGAGGCGCTTGGAATACGGTTTCCAGAGCTCACCGCGGTAACCTTCTCGCCCGGCGCGCCGGCGCCACTTCTGGCCGAGGGAAACGTTGTGGGCGGCAGAAGCAGCGCGCGAGCGGGCAGCTGAGAGTGCTTTGCGCTCGTCGCTGAGGCTGGCGCGCGTGGTGTCTGCGGTCGAGGTGAACGAGGTCATGTCGTTGATGCTGGCCGTGTTGCCGTTGATCTTCAGGTGAGAGTGCCCGATCTCGGCGTTATCGATCAGCGCCCTCGCGAGAGGGGCGTTCTGGTACCAGACTGCGCGGGCGATGCTGCGCAGCGCCATTGCGCGGGTCTCCTTGGAGACGCTCGCAGTCTGGGACTTCCGCTCGGCAGCGGGAATCTTGGCGAGCGCGTCGCGCGCGCGGGCGGCAGCGACTTGCGCCGCGGCCTTGAGAGCGCGCCATCTAGCAAACGGAGTGAGCGGCGTCGCGTCGATGGTGGCGAAGATCTTTTTGATGCGATGCTTGTAGTGGTCCGTGTCAAAGATGTAGGCGGGGATGTCACGCTCGGCGGCTGGCTTGGGCTTGCGGAGGCGGAGGCGGAGGTGCATGACATTGCGGTCGCTAATCGGGCCCCTGGCGTTCTCGAGGGGGGCGTCGTCGGCGACGTAAAATGTCTCCATGAGGGGCATGAGGTGGCTCGGGAAGTTGATGAAGCAGCGGTCGGTCGTTGGTTCACTCATGTTGCCTTCGGCTCTGCGTCGTAGACGTGGAGGTGATCTCGATCATGTCACGAAACACCGAGCGCCAGAAGACAGGATGGCAATGGTATATATGCGCAGCGGTGGTGTCGGAGTCGACGGCGGCGTTGAAGGACTTCGGCGGGAACTCGGATACATTGAGGTCACCCACGACCATAATGAGGCGATGTTGGGGCTGTTCGTCAGCATGCTGTCGAAGTGCTTGCCATTGGTCGCGAAGGTGAAGACGGTCGGCTGGCGTGAGGCCGTAGATGTGGATGTTGAGGATGGTGACTTCGTACTGGAGGCCGGCACCCGTGACGCGCAGCCAAGCGGCGCGGCCATGGATGACGACCTCGAACCTGGTTTGAGGCCGTTGTTCAGGTGGTAGCTGATGTTCTCTCTTGTCGTACGGGACGAGGAAGCCGATGCCGCCAGCGTTGGTGACGGGCACATCGTTGACCATCACGGGCGAATGGTACGGCTTTTACGGGTGCTGGGTCGAATTGGCCAGGAGAGCGAGGTCGTCTAAAGATGCATGCGTTTCTTGAACAGCAAGAAGAGTGCGCTGGCGAAGGTAAGGTAGAAGCATACGACGTTTGTGTTCGCGGCGTTGGCCTGATTGTCCGAGGGGAGCTTGGGTGTTCCAGAAAGCTACATTAAGGCCCTCCTGAGAGGGTTGCAGGAGCGAGCCACGGGCTCCAGCGATGGCTAAAGCCACCGCGTTGCTGTGCGGGTGTCCGCGAAATTGGTGGCGAACTCGGCGTTGATATGTCGCTGTTTGGCTTCGGTAAAGCCGCGGTTCATGGCGGCGCTGGACCACTGAAGCCCGGTGGGCGCGTCAACATGGGCGCCGGTGTGCAAACGAACCAGAGCGCCCCCACGATTAGCAATGTAAACAAGAGTCCTGTGCGTGCGGAAGTCGACGTCGGGCGTGGCGTTCTGCATGATTTTGGCGAAGCATTTGACTTGAACTTCTGCGCGAACGGCTTTCGGGCTTTTGTCTGCTGATACATATAGAGGAACAGGGACACCATTGCCCAGAGCGATAGCAAAACTGCGCCATTCTTTTCCGTTGCGGAGAGTACACGTAGGAGGAAGAGGAGGAGGAGGAGGACGACGACGACGAAGACGACGACGATGAGGACGAGATACAAGAGGCAATCTCCGCCCTGACTCTGCACCATCACGATCCCCACGGTACCCTTCCCTCCCCTGCCCCACATCAACCCTCCTCTTTCAGGGGTCCCCTCCCCATTACCATCCCCCTCCTCCCCCCTTCCCTCTCTTTACCCTGCCCTTACACGTGTTTTTCGTCCCCATTGGACGTCCCCTTCACCTTCTCATCTCCCTCTGCCTTCCCCTTCCCCACTCCCCCTTCCCCTCCCCCTCATCCTCCTCCCTGCTTCCTCCTCCCTACTACTCCTACTCCTCCCTGCTTCCTCCTCCCTCCTCTTCCTCCTCCTCCTCCTACATGTTTGTTCTTGACAGTAACTACTCCCCGTCGCAACCCCCAGAGGGTGTTGGTAGGGCGTCAAAAGGGGGCTCTCGCCATAGCGCCGCGCACACGCGCGTAAAGTTTTCAGCAGGTTCAAAGATGGAGGGGGGTGGCTTTCGGCATTGCGCTCTCACCTAAGCGCTGCGGACATTCGTCTGAAACAACCGCTGCAATTTCAATATTGGGAAAAAGGGGGTCCTTTTCAACGTGGGGGTCTCGCCTGGGCGCCGCGCATGCTCGCTTGAACAGGTTTCAACATCTTCAGGGATGGATGAGAGAGTACTTTTCATAATGGCACTTTCTCCTTGCGCCGCCGCATACACTCTTCTGAAGCGTTGCAACAGCTTCAGGGATGGAGAAAGGGCCGTTCTCAAAATTCGGCTCTCGCCTGAGCGCCGCGCGGCTTCGTCTCCACAGCGCGCACCGGTTACAGGAACGGAGGACGGGGCGAGGACGGCGCCTTGTCAGAATGGAGATATCGGTAAGGACTCCCCAAGTGCGCGACCAGAAGTGCAAGCTTGCGCAACAATTCCACACAAGTGGCGGTGACTTTTTCTCGATAAGAAGCACGGGGAAATCGTTGCACACCTCTTTGAACTGTGTGATCATACCTTTTCCCACTCCGTAATATTCCATACAGGATGCAAGGCGGCTCGGTTTCAAGACGGGGCTCTCGCCTGAATACCAGTTCCAAGGGGTGCTGTTTTTTCAAGGCAGCGCTTCTTGCAATGAAAAGGAAAGCTTCTGTGTGGTTTCTGACAAAGTGATTCGGGTGGGACAAGAAGGTGTGTGGCACCATCGTTGATGACTGTTGGGTTCACTCTGGTCGTCCTTCTCCTCAGTCCTCTCCTTCTCCCCCGCTCTTCCTCCCCCATTGGTCCTTCCTCCTTGCCCATCGCCGCTGCTTCTGGCACGGCTGGCATTCCCAACGGACCCGCTCGGGGGATTTGGGCCTCTCCGCTCCGTCACGCAGCAGCGCCTCCCACAGGAAGTTCACCAGGTCGGGGCGGAGGGCACCACGAGGAAGAGGCAAAGGGGAGGCGGAGGGGCGGAGAAGGAGGAGGAGGACCCTCCCTCCTCTTCTCCGCGGAAGCTTCGCTTCTTGGGTTCGACCTCCCCTGTTCGGCCGCGCTGACGTGGCCTCCCCTCTTGACCAAGCCCCCCCCCCCTTGCGCGACTCGGGGCCACCGTGCTCTCGCTTCTGCGCTCCGACGCGCCTCCTGAAGCGCCGGCGTCGCGACCTCTCCCCTCCAGCGCGCTCCGCGCGCCTCGCCTGCTTGGATGCGCCCGGGAGCTTCCCAGAAGCGCCGCGAGTCCCCTCCCTGCTCCCCTCGCGCCTCCCGTGCTGCCGAGGCAGCGGCAGCCGCACCTCTCCGTCGTTCCCAGCCTCCACCGCCGCTGCACACCGACGCACCGGCAGGGCCGAAAGCACCGACCGCTTCCGCCGCTGCGGCACCCGCCGCGATTCCCCCACGGATGGACCAGCCGCTCCGGCGGAACAGGCGGCCGCCCCTTCGGGGACCTTCCGCCACTGAGGGAAGTGTAACAACTTGCAGTCCTGGTATCCCTCCTCCTCCTCCTCCTCCTCCTCCTCCTCCTCCTCCTCCTCCTCGTCACCGTCATCATCATCATCATCATCATCATCATCATCATCATCATCATCATCATCATCATCATCATCATCATCATCAGCAGCAGCAGCAGCAGCATCATCATTACCAACAACATCATCATCATCATCATCAGCATCAGCATCACCATCATCATCATCATCATCATCATCATCATCATCATCATCATCATCATCATCATCATCATCATCAGCAGCACCAACATCAGCATCAGCATCATCATCATCAGCATCATCATTACCAACAACAGCATCATCATCATCATCAGCATCATCATCATCATCGTCATCATCGTCATCGTCATCGTAATCGTCATCATCATCAGCATCATCATAATCATCATCATCTTCATAATCACCAGCATCATTACCATCATCATCCCATTATTTCTCCTCATCTTCCTCTGCCATTTCCTCCTCCTCCTCCTCCTCCACCTCTGCCTCCTGTCCCTCCATCCGTCCTCGTCCTCCTCTTCGGGAGGGGGAGGGGTGGGTGGGGAGCGAGGCAGTAACAAGGGGCGCGACAACAAATATAGCCGGGAGATTGCTCGATCGGCCGAAGAACCGAACATTGACTCCTGGACCAGCACACGAACGAGCGCCTGGACCTTCCACAATGATCAGCGTCTGGGCATGCCCCTGAAAACGGGCAGCAGGGTATCAAACAGAGGCCCCTACATCGAATGACGTTGGTCGATTCTGGGTCGGGACACCCGCGGATTGCAAGCACCTTCGTGAGCAAGAACGTGGCACCCTGGCAAGCACGAGCGCTGTCTTGATGTGCGTCTCCGCTTCACGCCCTGGGCCTGCAGGCTGTCCGAGAGTACGAGCAGAGGGCCCTCTCGGCCCGCTCGGCAGCACGGCCCAGAACTGCTGCTCCTCCTCCTCCTCCTCCTCCTCCTCCTCCTCTTCCTCCTCCTCCTCCTCCTCCTCCTCCTCCTCCTTCTCCTCGTCTTCCTCCTCGTCTTCCTCCTCGAGAGGCCTGCCGTGGAGACTGCCTCGCACTGCAGAGCTCGACGAGCCCTCAAAGGGCGAACGCGGGGGGCGCTGGGCCCGCGCAGAAGGCCTTCGGCAGAGGACGGCCCTGAAAACTCTATAGGGGAACAAGAAGTTGACATCAACCTAAAAACTCGGAGGTCCGCGCGGATTTCTCGGATCCGCGCTGGACCCCCCTCCCTGGCGCGCTCCGCGCGCCAGGGGCGGCGCCGGAGGCGCCGCTGGGGGGCCCCAGCGCCGATGCGAGAAGTCCGCGCGGACCTCCGAGCTTTTAGGTTTATGCCAACTTTTTGTTCCCCTGAACTCAGCACCCGGACGTGCCCGGAAGTCGATGGCATCCAGGGCGAACGCGGGCGGCGATGGCATCCAGAACTCGATGAGCCATCAAGGGCGAACGCGGGTGGCGATGGACCCGCGCAGCAGGCCCTCCGCAGAGGACGGCCCTGCAAGCTCGGCACCCGGACGTGCCCGAACGTCGAGGCGCCGGGGACGCGCCCGTGGACGCGAGCCGAGAGGGCGGCCCTGCGGGCCTGCGGCTCCTCTGCCTCCTCGAGAGGCGCGCGCCGCCGCGGTGTTCGCGCGGCGGCGCCTCGGCTTCTGCTCCTCCCAGTTCTCCTCCGCCGCCTCTTTTCCTCCCCCCTGGCTCGAGGCCCGAGGATCGAGGACCGCGCGCCGAGGAGGGAGGAGCGAAGAGCCGCGGATCGCGAACCGAGGACCGAGGAGCCGCGGAGCCGCGAGGCGTCGAGGAGCCGCGGGTCGCGCGTCGAGGATCGAGGGCCGCGGATGGAGCTAAGCCCTCGCGGGCGGGCGCGCCGGCGGCAAGGGCCGCCCGAGCCAAGCGCTCCGTGCCCCTCTGCCAGAGCGGTCTGCACACCCCCTGCGTGGCGCGACGGTGCCAGCTGAAGCACCCCGCCCACACCCCTCGGCGCAACACAGGAGCGAGGGCTCGTCGCGTCGAGCTCCCCCCACTCCACTCTCCTCCTTCTGCTGCGGGCCCTGCTTCTTCTGGCCCTGCTCGTAGCCCTCCTCCGATCAGGCTTCTTCGGCTCCTCCACCTCGTCCTCCGCCTGCATCTCCTCCTCCTCCTCCTCCTCCTCCTCCTCCTCCTCCTCCTCCTGAGGCTGCTGCTCCTCCAAATCCTTCGCATCCTCCATCTCTTCTTCTTCTTTTTCTTCTTCTTCTTTTTCTTCCTCCTTATCCTCCCTTGCCTTTTGCTCCATCGCTCCCTTGCCGAATGCGGTGCAACGCCTCCCCTCCCGCTGCCCTGGTTCTTCCCTCGGGCCTTCTCGAATGCATCGCAGATCATCCCTCCGATGCTCTCGTCGCCATTCGCAGCGATGGTCGCCACGCTCTTGATGCTCGGGGAAGCGTGCGATTGCCCCCATCACCCCTCACGTCCACCACATGATCCCTCCTTCTCCTACTCGTCCTTGTCGTTGTCGTCGTCGTCCCCCTGCTCCTCCTCATCATCACCATCACCGACGTCACCAGTATCGCCAACATTTACATCACCACGATCACCACCATTATCATCGTCCGCCTCCTCCTGCTCCGCCTCCACCTCCGCATCCTCCTCCCCCATGCACTTCCTGCTTCTTCCCCCTCACCTGCTCATGTTAACCTGGGTCCTCCGCTTCGTTGTAACCCGCCTCTACCTTATCGGTTCATCCGAATCCTCCTCCGATTCCGCCTCCATCCTCGCCGTCATCCTCATCCGCCCTCCTCTCATTAACATATGTGTTGCTACTAGTATTGTGTTTATTCCGTGTTGTCGTCGCCTGGAAAACACACGTAGTCCTACCCCCCTGGTTTTTCGCCGCCTCCTCCTCCAACTCTTCCCACTCATCCCACATTGTCTGCCCATTTGACGTGCACAGCGGAACACGTGCTGTGAGAGCAGCATGCGATAACGACAAGCACGCAGCATAGACACAACACAGCGCAAACAAACACACCACCAGTTTCGTTGCAGGAACTATCGCGCGCGTCTCGCGCGCGCTGAAGTTCTAATTGATCACCGCGCGCCTGGGCATTCGATCGCTCATCATGATCAAGTCTTGAGACAGTGACGTGGACACAAGAGGGAGACAGAGAGAGAGAGAAATAGAGAGAGAGAGAGAGAGAGAACACATCTATAGGGACAACATGTGATGCAGAGCGCAAAAGAGATACAGAGTCGAAAGGTAGAGGCAGTAGGCATCGGAAGGAAGAGCCATTATAAACTGCATACGAAGCAGGAGCAGAAAGGAAGCTAGTTGAGGAAGGAGGTATACAAGTTAATGGAGAGTGAAGAAGAGGAGAAGGACAGAGGGAGGAAGGAGGATGCAAGGAAAAGGGACAACGATGTTCGGGTGAGGGGAGGTGGAAAGGAGGAAGAAACGATAGGGTGGATGTACGATGGCGGATACAGGAAGGGTAAGGCAGGGGTTTACGTTGCGTACCTTCTTGGACTGTCCAATGGCAGTGTGAGGGACCAGGAGACGAGTGATGGGACACGCCAGCAGGCATGCCACGGGGACCTGTCTAAGAGCCTGGTTGAGTCTAGTGGAGCTGCTCTGTTGGGCAGTCTTTGAGGCCTCTTCGGCCATCCCAGGTCTATATGGGCCATACTGGGGATAGATTGGTACGGTACTGAAGTTATATGGGGCCCGTCTTTGTCGTCTCATCCCGCATTGCTGTGAAGCAACCTAGGCCTGTAGTCACCGATGGCAAAGTCCATGCTTTCGTGATCGCAGCGACGAATCCAGGAGTATTGAGCCAACATCGCTGAGAAACAGCCGGGCACATTCGTGCCCGCAGCAATGACCGTCGGCTCATTGAGTCCGCATCGCTGTGGAGCAACCAAGTCATCTCACAAACAGCGGCAGCAAACACTCCAAGTGTATAATTTGGAGTGCCCCCCGATCGACTGCAACTGTGTGAGTATACATATATAGATATACACATATGTGTATACATATATAAAGCACAAAACTGCATTGACGCTTCGCCCCATGCACTCTGGTCCTTCAGGTTTGGCATGCAAGCATGAGGGCAATCAGATAAAACGGAACATTTAGCGATAACTCGATGTTGCCTTTCCTGGCATCGTCGTTGTAGTACGCGATTCGTTATCTTTCCCTCTTGTGTCCCCTTCCTCTTCCTCATCCTCGCCCTACCCTGCGAATTCGTCCCCGTCCTCAGCTTTTTTTCGGAGGCTCATCCTAGGAGAGCCTTTTAGTGGCTTCACGAAAAATTGCAAGGGCTTGTTGGGACCTTCTGGAGGCCTGTCTTCGGGCGTCCTGGGAAACCGGAAATCATGTTCCCGGAGAGGCTTCCGGGAACATGATTTCGAACGAGGCCCTCTTGGGTCTCCCTGAGGCCGTCTTGGGGGCCTCCTGGGCCGGCTTTGGGGCCTCTTGGGCCGTCTTGGAAGGTTCCGTCAGCCCCATAGGACGACCCTTTTGGGCTGTCTTGGGCCCTCTTGGGTCTCTCTTGCTCCTCGGGGGCGTCTGGGGCACTGCGAAGACGAAGCAAGCGAGTATGCTGAAAATGTACGTTTTACAGCGGGAATGGGCCGATTTTTGCCGGGGCCCTCTTCGGCCATCTTCAAGCCATCTCGGGCCCTCTTGGGCCTCGCTGAGGCTGTCTTGTGGGCCTCTTGGGCGTCCTGGGAACCCCGAAATCATGTTCCAGGAGAGGCTTCCGGGAACATGATTTCGAACGAGGCCCTCTTGGGCCTCCCTGAGGCCGTCTTGCGGGCCTCCTGGGCCGGCTTTGGGGCCTCTTGGGCAGTCTTGGAAGGTTCCGTCAGCCCCATAGGACGACCCTTTTGGGCTGTCTTGGGCCCTCTTGGGTCTCTCTTGCTCCTCGGGGGCGTCTGGGGCACTGCGAAGACGAAGCAAGCGAGTATGCTGAAAATGGGCCGATTTTTGCCGGGGCCCTCTTCGGCCATCTTCAAGCCATCTCGGGCCCTCTTGGGCCTCGCTGAGGCTGTCTTGTGGGCCTCTTGGGCGTCCTGGGAACCCCGAAATCATGTTCCAGGAGAGGCTTCCGGGAACATGATTTCGAACGAGGCCCTCTTGGGCCTCCCTGAGGCCGTCTTGGGGGCCTCCTGGGCCGGCTTTGGGGCCTCTTGGGCCGTCTTGGAAGGTTCCGTCAGCCCCATAGGACGACCCTTTTGGGCTGCCTTGGGCCCTCTTGGGTCTCTCTTGCTCCTCGGGGGCGTCTGGGGCACTGCGAAGACGAAGCAAGCGAGTATGCTGAAAATGTACGTTTTACAACGGGAATGGGCCGATTTTTTCCGGGGCCCTCTTCGGCCATCGTCAAGCCATCTCGGGCCCTCTTGGGCCTCGCTGGGGCTGTCTTGTGGGCCTCTTGGGCGTCCTGGGAACCCCGAAATCATGTTCCAAGAGAGGCTTCCGGGAACATGATTTCGAACGAGGCCCTCTTGGGCCTCCCTGAGGCCGTCTTGGGGGCCTCCTGGGCCGGCTTCGGGGCCTCTTGGGCCGTCTTGGGGGGCTCCGTGAGCCCAACGGGACGATCTTTTCGGGCCGTCCTGGGCCCTCTTGGGTCTCTCATGGGCTGTCTTGGGGCCCCTCGGGGGCGTCTAGGGCACTGTGAAGACGAAGCAAGCAAGTATGCTGAAAACGTACGTTTTACGAGGGGGCTGGGCAATTTGTTTCCTCTTGAAGGCCCTCTTGGGGCGCTCTTCGGCCATCCTCAAACCATCTCGGGCCCTCTGGGGCCTCGCTGAGGCTGCTTTGTGGGCCTTTCGAGCGTCCTGGGAAACAGGAAATCATGTTCCCGGAGAAGCTTCCGGGATCATGATCTCGAACGAGGCCCTCTTGGGCCTCCCTGAGGCCGTCTTGGAGGCCTCCTTGGCCGGTTTCGGAGCCTCTTGGGCCGTCTTGGAGGGTTCCGTGAGCCCCACAGGACGACCCTTTCTGTTTCGGGCCGTCTTGGGCCCTCTTGGGTCTCTCATGGGCCGTCTTGGGGCTCCTCGGGGGCGTCTGGGCACTGTGAAGACGAAGCAAGCGAGTATGCTGAAAATGTACGTTTCACAACGGGAATGGGCAGATTTTTTCCTCTTGAAGGCCCTCTTGGGGCCCTCTTCGGCCATCTTCAAGCCATCTCGGGCCCTCTTGGGCCTCGCTGAGGCTGTCTTGTGGGCCTCTTGGGCGTCCTCGGAACCCGGAAACCATGTTCCAGGAGAGGCTTCCGGGAACATGATTTCGAACGAGGCCCTCTTGGGCCTCCCTGAGGCCGTCTTGGGAGCCTCCTGGGCCGGCTTTGGGGCTTCTTGGGCCGTCTCGGGAGGTTCCGTGAGCCCCACAGGGCTTGCCTCTTGAAGGCCCTCTTGGGGCCCTCTTCGGCCTTCTTCAAGCAATCTCGGGCCCTCTTGGGGCGCTCTTGGGTGTCTTCGGGACCTCTTGAAGCTTTCTTGACCATCTGTACGGCCCGCGTGGCCTGTCGCGGGCAATTTGGAAGCGGCCCAAGGTAGTCTTTGGGGGTCTGCGACCCCCCAAAGGTCCCGGGGGGCGCCCATGGGGGATGACGGATGATGACGGCACCGGCCCGCCCCCCCCGGCCTACTCATACATATATATATATATATGTATATACACATACATACACACATGTATATATATATATATATATGTACATGTGTGTACGTGCATGTACATGTGTCTGTGTATGTAGCTGCGTCGTGTGTATATGTATGTGCATATGTATATGTGCGTAGGTGTATGCGCATGGATGTGTACATTCACATGTACATGCATAAAGATATGTGTATACATATGGGTATACGTATGCATGTGCATTGATATGCATGTGTTGACAATTATATGTGTATGTGTAAGAGCATGTACATGTTGCTGCATATGTATGCGTATATGTAGATGTACATGCAAATACACATGCAATTGCCTAAATACATACGTGCGCATCTACAAATATACATGCATACGCATATACATACATACATACACACATACATGCATACATACATACAGGCGTACGTACGTACATACATATACACATTCATATACAATATATAGATATACGCACATATATATATATATGTATGTATATATATATGTATATATATATATGTATACTAGAACCACGCGCGCGCTACGCGCGCGCTTAGGTTCTAGCTTCGTCCGGGGCAACGGCCAAACAACGGACGAGGAAGTTGAAGGCTGAATGCGCTTCGGTGATTCGTCGAGTTTCGGGGTCGTGGTTCGAAAAGCTTCTGGGCGCTCCTCACCCCCAGGCGGCCCGAGGCGGCCGAAAACGGCACCTCCTCCTCGTCCTCCTCTTTCCCCCTGCTCTTCCTCCTCTCCTCCTACTCTTCCTCCTCCCCCCATCG